ATTTATCAAGGAATCAGTTTCAGCAAGACTAAATCGAAAATTTCTAGATGACTGCTTTTTTAAACCCTGTTCTGTAGAAGAACAGACTTTGTATGTCCTAGTCAAATATAGTGTTAGCAACATCTTAAATTTTAGAATGTGAATGGATGTGAAAATAAAAGCAGTATAATGGCAGAACTGGAGTAACCATAGTCCAATGCGATCAACTAGTTACACTTGAAAACTGGTTATTGTCAAATAAGGATACTACTATACTATTTGGACATCGATTAGTATTTAGATCAAACAAGATCGATTTTAAACGATTATGCACATCATAAAATGATCATAATTAATAGTTCTGTTTCCCTAGTCCATGCATACTATAACAACATCGCACAGAATACAAAATCAGAAAACTTTCCACCTATATGAAGAAATCAAAGAATATTTTTGTCGTATTGTAAAGCATGTAATATACAGTTAATAGGAATCAATGGTGAAATTCAATTCTCTATATCGTCTAATATTGATGTGAACCTTGCGTTAAGGCAGTTGCGATTTCTATTCCAAGTAGATATGAGTGTTTGTCTTAAGACGAGGATTAAAATCATTTTGGACCAAGATTAATCTCGAAATATGGTCTACTAGATAGTACATCGCTATACATGGTCACAATTAATTGAATATAATAGTCACAAAGTAAAACTACTAACGGCAATATCATACAGTGCACAGCCGTTTACTGTCTAACTAACTCGAGCTGCACGTCATTTTATATCGAATTTCGAAAAATTTGTCACTAAAAGTTGGAATAACTTACAAGTTCTATTCATTTCAGCATGAGCACAGAATGCCACTTCAGATGTGATAATACGCTTGCCATCATCGGACATGGTTAAAACATGATCACCAGCGGCCAAATTCTGTATTGATATTACTTGATCGTTTGCCAAAGTTACATGCTGATCGGCCGAAAAACAACCTGAGAAAATAACAATATCGATTGAATGAGTAGATTTCACGAGCGAATGTTTTGTTTAAAAATTCGTGAAAAAACTAAGAACTACACTGGTTTAAAATCGAATTGTGTCATCAATTACTGATTCAGCTGTCTATATCAGCAGCAAACAAAAATAGTGTCTCGAAAGTTCTATAATATTCCGTGTGTTACGAAAGAACATTTTGAAGTACATATATGTCAAACAGATATAAAACTAAATCTGATGTAAAAAGTTGGATACAGATTCGTTAGTAATGAATCAGTTTTTGATTTAACAGTGTCAGTATTGGGCTGAAATCGAGCAATATATGCACCTAATGAAGTCTGTACTTAAACACAATCAGTACTTCACTATAACATTCATTAAAATAACGATGGATTTTGCTGTTGTTACTGAGTTATTATGTGTCATTCTATGTAATAAGTTTATACGGTGGTTAAATGGAGATGGCATGAAATAAAGTCATATTTATCGATTTCTATGGCATTACTTAGATTTGTGTTATAATTAAGAGAAGGGGAGCATTCGTAGAATGTGCGTCACATCAGGTATGTTAGAGACAAAAGGGTCTGTTAGGTTCGATGAGCTTTCATAATAAAGTAACATTCTTATCCCTGTTCGGTATTCCTTTGCTGTAGATAGAAACTTTGTATCCTATTCAAATATCTCTTGAAGGAAATTTTTAAGTCAGTTCCGTTATTTCTACCAATCCTGTTTCACATTCAAAATGATTTTTTCATCACAAAACAATAAGCGTAGGTCAAATAAATCCCAAGTAGAAGAACTTAAAGAGCTTATCCGTGGTTTTTTCTTCATCACCTTACGTAATTCCGATGATCATTCTGTTTCAGTCGCGTACATAGACCGTGCAACAATTATCAAATGTTCAAAAATATGTTCAATCAATTGCCATCCTACAGTATATTTAATTATGTAGCCAGTTACTTACCGGGTTCTGGAGTAATACTATCAGTGGCACTTGTTCCTAAAATAAAGAAGAATCAGCATTGCAAAACTCTGCGAAATGATCTATTAGTATTTTTTTCATGTAGTTCAATGACCGTCAAGACATAATATCTTTATGGTATTTGTTGGAAAGAATATTCATGTCAGTGCACATGAAACACTGAAAGAGTAATGATAACTGCATAAATTCATTGCATTTTATCAATAGGACTTATTGATTCATTTAATTTCTATTTTCGATTGAGTTTCTTCACAGCAAGAGTTTTATTGAAACCAATAAAGAAGGCTATCAAATTTTGTTTTCATTAATCTTTAGTGTAAGAATAATGTCCTCTGAATTTTATATAGTAGTGTGCATCATTTAAATAATCGGGTATGCGAATGAATAGGAAGTATTACATATCTCTCTTCATCGAGAAAACGTCAACGGCATCTATCTTTTCCCTAGTGTCAAGAAAAATGTGAAAGCAAAGAGTGTCGTAGTTTTATTGTTTGATAAACGGTAATCATAACTGTACTTATAAATAGACACATCAACAAGATTACCTCGTTGTCATATATAAGATTGACAAATAAGTAGAATTCCGAATATAAATATTTTATATTGTAGCTTTTCGAAACTTTTCCAAAAACCGAGAAATGTTCCGTTACTGAATTCAGAAATTATGGGAAAAGACTCACATTAGTAAATTCCAGAGAAGGAGACATGTTACCCTAATCTATCTTCGCTCTTCCTTTTATCTGTCACTGATAGACACAATGAATGACGGCTAGCTGTCTTTCAGAGTAAATTAGAGACTCTGTATAGTTGAAATCTACTGAAATATTCATGATATAGGCGTGTGAGTTAAGGCATGAACATGAAACGAAAATCTAGATCTAGAGCAAGACACACAAGTACATGCACACTCTATACCATCAATGTGTCTGAGGTGCATTTCTATATACTACCAGCTGCCTTCATGTACTTTGATGTACTTTTCTATTTGAATAACACCGTTTCTCCATTGATTTTATCGAAATCTGGAAATAAATGGTATCCTTTTACAGTCAAATTCATAATTTGTATATAATTTTTCTACATGCGTTCTTTTTATGAAGTTTTCTGATCGACATAGTAACATTGAAACTCTTTAAAGAAACTGAATAAATTATTTCTCGTAAGCAACACCGTAAATATTGATCAGTATTGATTTTAGAATACGACTATCTATGATTTTAGATATTGACACGTATACGTATATTTGAAGGCAATACAACATGCAGAAGATGGATCTATAAACCTGAAAAAGTTGATCTTTTTAAGAACTGTCGATTTGTTAAGTAATACAAAACTATTAGACGCATCTAAGTAAGATTTATTCGCCTGGTATCGATTGCTGTAGGATAAAACAAGTAGTAAATAAGAGCAGCAGCTTTTTATTTTGATAATAAAAATTTTATCTATTAGTTTCTTCGCTGATCCTGCTAATTAGTCAGTGTATAGTAAGATACCCACAGATTATAACTGTTGACAGCTGTGTGTTGTATGGAAGAGAATAGGGGGAGTAACATCGTATTGTACCGAATGTCGTACATTGAGGGCAGCAGTAATAATATTCCTTTAGCTTCTTGAAACTATTCATCAAAGAATAGTAAGTTATTCATCAAGCATCTCTCTAATTCATACACATCTCTGTCAAAAGACTAATACCCTATAACTAGAGATAACTATTTGAACTTTAGGACAGCTTAGTCACTAACAGAAT